CGATCTCCCCAAAACCCCAAAACCCCAAAACCCCAGATATACAAATAATGAAAAATATTGTAATTGCTTAATAAATTATAAAAGCTTGATTAAAGTTAAATATATAATTTATTTTTATTAGCAGAATCAGAATTTGAAAAAAGAATCTCTTTCCCTGAGCTTCTTTCTCTCTCTAACTATTTGGAGCCATCTATGAGCGTATTTAGCAACATAGGAATTCCTAAGTCCAGATTTATATTGCTCGTTTATCTATATGTAATTAGTATAAAAATTCTTACGGTAGAAAGTAGAGTGCTATTTAGTGAAGCTAGTTTAGATCGCTTTTGCTCGAAAAAGGTATTTCCATTTATGGAGGAAGCATTGTCCTTAAGTTCAGTATGAATAGCATTTTTCTTGAGTTTCACTTCAATCACTTGACGCTCTGATGTCTCCTTCTTGACCTAGTCTCTTAATCTTTTATTCTCCAACTCCAATTTAGCAAAGGCTTCTCTTAACTCTTCATATTCCTATTCCCTTATTCTGAGATCATTTCTCATTTCATCAATCACCTCCTCTAAGTCTTCTTAACCCTCTTTTCTCCTTATTGGTGCCTTACCATTTGTTGAAGGATCAGTAGCTATTCTTGAAGGCTAAACCTTTTTAAGTTTTCTCTCTCGCTTTCTCTTCTCGTTCTACTCATGCAGTCTTTCCTTTAAGAACTCACTCTTATACATAGAGTTGCCTGGCATTCCTGGACCACTTATAGAGCTGATTCCACCCATATTTCCAGAGCCAGCTAATTTATCTTTTCCTACATTTGAGGTTGTCAGTTTTTGGAGGTTAGCTTTCTGGTGCTTGTCCTCCATTATATGCTTGAATTCATCACTTAAAAAGAAGGGCATGCTATCAAACTCTCTACCTTTTTTCATCTCTGGAGGTGGCTTATTAAATAATTTAGCTAGTTCTCTTTCCTTCTCATTTTGGTAGTTAAGCTTAAGATCAATGAATAAGTCGTCATCTTCCACTTAGAAAAATTCAAAGGATCTTTTCTCACTCATTTTTTTCTGATAGATATAGTCATAGCACTGATGTCTAATTATTCTTCTTAACATTCTAATAGCACTAATAGGGGCAGTCTGAGTCATATCAATCAATGCCTCGTGAGTAAACTTGCAAATATACCCAGTTTATGAGCATATTATATCATTAGGCCATTCATCTCCTCTAAGAAATTCTTTCACACCTAAAACAGCACCTTCTTTGTAGACTTCATTTTCAGTATCTTTGAAAGCCATGAACTGACCTTAAGCTACAAATATAATTGCTCTATCCTTGGTTCCTTTTCTAACTAGTCTGTCACCAGGATCCATCTCAGTAGTTTTTAGAGAATTCATTATATATTTCTCATCTTTCCGATCGATTCCTTTCAGAAATGCTCTCATAAGTGGGTTTTTCAAGAAGAACTCTCTGACTTTCTTTGCTGCTCCCGCAGTGTTCACATGCTTGATAGCAGGATTGTACTCATGCCCGAATACATTATAATGAAACACCTCCAAGGACTTCTTAGCTGCTATCTGAAGTATCTTGAAACACTAAATAAAATGAGCGATAAATGAAGTCTTACAACTTGGGGGTATTTTCTTGACTCACTTTTTATTTCTCCAAATGGAAGGCAAGCTAAGATTCCATCAGTCTCAGCAATAATGTCGTATTTATGCTTAGTGTTGTCCCTGGCTACTTAAAGCTCACTTACACACATAAACCCTATCATGTCTCCGATGCTCATCGTCTTTATCTTTTAGAGGTCCAGAGATACGAATGCCTGGCCATGCAAGAAAATTCCAAAGAAATCTATCTCTTCATTTCTCTTTGCAATGTAGTCATTTCTAAATTCAATTATATATGAATTGCAACTACCTTTTGAATGTGAGTACTTTGAAGACTTGACTCAGTGAGACGACATCATCGTGCGAGTAGCCTTGGAATATACTAGTCTCGTCTCTCAATACTTCTAGGATCTTTCTTGTTTAGTTAGGATCTAATTTCACATTGTGATTAGAATGTGATTTAACTTACCAAGATCGTTAGTTAATCTCATTTTTCAATTATTTCTTAATTTATAAACAGTTGTTAAATTATATATTTATTTTATATATTTATATTTATTATATTCATCAGCTAAAATTATAGCTTGATATAAATATATTTTAATTTAATGTAAAATCATATATTATCGTAAATGAATATATTTGTAATAGCATTAATAAAATATAGTAAAGGTAATGGATCAATAAAACTATCCAAGTCACAACAACAACTAAAACCTGACTACAACTATTTCCTCCAACACAACTAATAACTACTAAGGAGGTCAGTCACAGAATAAAAAATACTATGATAACGCAATGAGCCCAATCAATGAATTCAGTCAGAAGACGAGCTACTATAATGCAGGCTACACCACTCATGCTGATGAGCAGGACATGCGCTTCCCCAATATCACCAAGCAATCTAAGACGTAATAATTCAGATTTGATTTTGATTCTTATAGCAAAAGCAAGGGCTGATCTAACAACAGAAGACTTCCTAGTGACTTTGCAGTAAGAGATGCAGCTGGTGGGGAAGGAGAGAACGTGATTCAGACTGTCATGTATAAACAGCTCAATCAAATGAAGAACCTGAACTATACGTTTGAGCGCAAGGAGAACGAGAAGATAGCCAAGTACTTTAATCTGGGGGGTGAGCCATCACTTAATGAAGCATCCAATCCAACCAGCTATAACTTTGACAATACTAATCTGCATTCTAATCAGCAACCGCAATACCTCAGGACTAATCCAAAGCGGTCTAACAAGGTACTTGATAGCTTTATACCATCTTAAAACTAAGAGCGTTATCATCAAAGTCCTAAAGTCAACAACAATGGCAGTGTAAGTGGAGGAGTACCTTATCCATAACAAAAATTCTCTAAGGTTCAAATCTAAAGTTCAACTCAAAGAAATGATACAGCTCAATTCGAGAGTCTAATAAAATAATAGTAACAGTTTCCTGAGATAAATCGCAATAATGCTGCCAACATCGCCACAAGCAATAGTAACAGATCAAAGACACAGGTCAAACTCAGAGGAAATCAATTTAAGTTCTAGCATAACGTGAATCTACCTATCAATTAAAACATAATAAACTATGAGAGAATGGCCTAAACTTCGCAGGAATCTTAAGACTCGCATCATCATCACAACTAAAATGCAAGTATCGAGAATTCCTAGGATTTTAAAGATGGTCGTGGGAGTCAGGATAGATTAAAGCAGTATTTTGGAATAAATCCTAAGGATTCTAAGTTTAACTTGACTCTTTAAAATATGAACCAGAATTCCCCAAAATTTTTTAATAAGAAATACATCAGTCCAAGGAGACTGTTCCATAATTGCAAATACTGCATGATAAAATACGGGAATATAGATGCTCATGGTGGAATAGTATCAAGCAACTAAAATTACAGAGTGAGTAATAAGGAGAGTTCCAATGAACATAAGACCTATTCTAGAGAGAGATCCTTGAAAAAACCTAAAAATACTTTGTCAAATCATCAAATTTAGTATCGTAACAGAGACTATGAAAGTGATAATAACTTCTCTCCAATACAGAACAATAGAAACAGACATAATATATTGCCTGAGTTCCATACTCCCAAGCACCACCCTTCTTCATTAATTCAAGGCATTAATAACAGAGTAAAGAACTCAGCCAATCATAACACATTAGCTCCTATTAATAGCGGAACTGGAATTATTAATAACTACTAAACTGCAGCAGCCTAGATTCATCCAGATTAATAATAACTTTACCACTAGATGCTTCATGAGCATAACTTATATCATCAACAGGATCAATACCAATATAATAATCCATAGATGAATTACGATCCTATGATGCTTAAACAGTAGTATTAGAGATTTAAAAATAACAGCAAAGACCTTAGCTTTAATTAGCATAGGCAATAGTACAATCGCAGTCTCGATCCTAGACATGCTCATAACCAGCAATAGCTTTAATATCAGCAATAACTATACGACCCCAGAATATTGAAAGATTAGCAAAGAATGATAGTTAATTAGAAGTATATCCCAGTTTTAAGTAAGTAAGAACAGTATGTGAATGACATGAGTGTGCATAAAAAGTATAGCAAGTATAATAAAGCATTGAGAAATTCTGTTATACCTATAGATGATCAGCAATATTATACTGATTATTAGAACTACCAATATTAGACAATTGAACCAAATCAATATGTCATTCGTGATAAAAGACAAAAACTTAGGATAATAAATGGAACAGGCCCACCTGCAAACGGTAGCCTAACAGTTTAACATAAAAAATCCAAGGCAAATATAGGGGATGATAATCTTTTTGAGGAGTTTTAGGCTAAACTCCTAGGAAAGTAACATAGTCCAGCAAGACTAAATCACACTTTAAGTCCTACTAATAAGATTAATCAGACTCTTAATCAAGCCAGTAAAGATAGACTTTATAAACAAGTGCAAACTGCTTCGAATACTCATTTGCATCATGGTCATGATCATTCTCATGCTCATATTCATGATAAAGACAACAGAAATATGATAAATAAGGAATAATCACCATCAAATGAGATGTATATTAATTAGCAAAAGTAAATAGTTGGAGCTGGCCTTGGCAGGTAGATTCAATCTAATACTCAAACTCCGAAACTACAATAAATGATGCCTATCAATATTGACCCGAATAGCTTTGAGCAAAGTAGATAAGTAATTAGGAAACACATCTTAAATGATTAGAGCTAAGGAACTTTTTAGTTGTAAACTGAGAGGGGGCTAAGTCAGAAGATGAATTCGTAGAGGGATCTAAAGTTCCCTAGCTTTGGAACTCAAACGCAAACTAACGATGGATAGCATACTCACAGGGGAACTTAGAATAATAGCAGAGTAGAATCATCTGCTATATCACCTCGGGGCCAATTTGGAATAGCAAATCAGTAAAGCATGAGTTTTTAAACTAGAGGCCTAAGTAGAAGTCCGATTGGTTAACAATCTTAAATCTTACCACCAAAAGGACCTCCTGCTTGGATCTCTGCAGAGTTATATGATAGATTAATGGGTAGAAGTAAACCGCACACTCATATTTGTACAACTAACCATCATGGCCATAGATGTAAGATTCATAGCTAATCCCCTAAGGTCCATAAACCTATTGTAAAGGCATAATCGCTGAGAAAATCCTTAAGAGATGAATCAACTTCTCCTATTAGTAGTGTAAAAAGAAGAGGAGTATCTTAAGAGATTTAAACATTCGAAGTCAACTTGCAAAGTGAGTAAGTTGAAGTGGAAGCCCCTAAGAAGATAGGTAATCAGGACTGGGCAAAGTCAAATCTATACAAATATGTGTTCCAAAAGTTCAAAGCTGACTTCAATGCTAGACACAATAAAAATGTGTCTAATCCAAATGATGTAAATGATTAAGAAGCAGTAGTTGAGACCAAACCATCCACACCAGTTGAAGACAATCTTAAGTAAATATTTAAATCTTAAATGTAATTTTAGTCCTGAAAAACTTGAGATTTATACAGAAATAGAAGCTACTTACAAAGCATCTTTACTAAAAAAGAAAGCAAGAACATACAATCAGCCAGAGACTCTTCAGGAATTCCATGAAAAAGCAAAGACTACAATTGCAGTCTTAACTAACAACATGATAGCCACAGATGTTTCTCTTGAAAGAATATTTGATCACTATGAGGAGGTAACAAGAGAGAATGTCATTAAGCTGTTACTCAGATGTAAGATGCTCTATAATGCAAGATTTGATGTGAAAGCTATACTCATGTCAATCATTAGAAAGGAGAAATCCTTCAGGAAAATAGAGAAGCTTATGAATGAAGCACTTAACACCAGACATATGAATCCCAAATTGTAGCATCTATTGTTCGAAGGTCTGCGGGTAGCTTAAAGACTTTTCAGTTAAATCAGCTAGTTCAAGCATGAGCATAAGATATTCAAAGGCTCTTTCAACTTTAGAAAGTAGGATTACTCAGAGGCACTGCTAGATGAAATTAAGGTGATGGAGGATTTCATTCAAACATAGGGAATTAAGCGACCAGAGGACATGGAGGACCCAGATGAGCTGCATAATCTAGTGAGAATATCCAAGGAAAGCCAAGCTGGCACCAGACATCACCATCAATAGCTCACACATCACCAGCCTCCTCATCATCATCAGACTGACTTAAATGTGAGATCTAGTGTGCAGCTAAGGCAATCTTAAAAATCAGAGTAGTAGCAGGACTCACCTAATCAGTATGAGAATTACTTCTGATGATCTTATAAGCCGCTAATATATTAACTATAAATAATTTGAATGATTTCGATTGAGAATAGTCCGAGCTGAGCTTCAATTCTAATCGGAATTATTATAATATGAGATAATACTATTTGAACCAAATTATCATATATTAATTATTGATTAAATAATTATTGTATTCTAACTTACGGGGTTTTGGGGTTTTGGGGTTTTGGGG